CCCCTTTGTTCTCCGCGGGCTCCTGTGCTGCTTTAGCCTGTTGCCGGGGTTGGCGCCGCCCAGGAAGCAGCCCCTGGCCTTAGTTCCGTTGTCCGCGCTCAGCGGTTGAAGGCTCAGGGGCACCCCCCGTGGGGGCCCCATCGCCCAGCTCCTTGCTGGTGCCCGCTGGCCGGTGTCCAGCAGGGGCTCCTGCTCCTCGTCGCGTTCCTCCAGTCTGGAGCTTTTTTTCTCCTTCCCACGAGGGGAGTCTAGCATCAGAGTCAACAGACTGTCCTCTGCGCTCAGTATGCGCGACTCTGGGAGCTCGCTTTTCGCCGCTCCCCTGGGATTCTGCCTCACAGCCCCATCTCCCCCTGCCTGAGCCTGGGTCTCCAGGGTCTGGCCTAGGACTGGGGTTCAGAGCAGTTGAAACTGGGGCCCAACATGGCCGGGGCTCCTGTTTCCTTCCCTCCAGGGCAATCCCGCATCAGAGTCAACATTCCTTCCCTTGCAAGCAATGTGCACGACTCCGGAGGCTCGGCCTTTCTCCGCTCTCCCAGGACTCCACCTCACAGCCCTGTCTCCCTCTGCTTGAGCTTGGGTCCCCAGGGATTGGCCTAGAACTGGGGCTCACAGCAGTCGGGACTGGGGCTCAGCACCGCCGGAGGTTTTGTTTCTTCCCACCAGGGCAATCCAGCATCAGAATCAACATTCCGTCCTCTGCGCGCAATGTGTGCGCGACTCCGGGGGCCCTGCTTTTCGCTGCTCCCCTGGGATTCCACCTCACAGCCCCGTCTCCCCCTGCCGGAGCCTGGATCCCCAGGGTCTGGCCCATAACTGGGGCTCAGCGCTGCCGGTTCGGGGGTTCAGCCCAGACCGGGGGTTTTATTTCCTTCCTGCTACGGAACGCAAGGCAGCACCCAGCCCTCTCCTCGTCTCCTGCTGCAACCTCTCCGCGTGCGCATGTGGGCGGGCGTGCAGCATGTCTCTGTACCTTAGGCTTTTTTTCAGATCCTCTGATTTTCCTTCTGGTTTTCTCTTTCCTTCTTGTTGTAGAATTTTCAGTCAGTCGACTACCTGTAGCTCTGGGCAATGTCCGCTCTACATTTTATAATAGTTGTATTCCATTGAAATTGTTGTGTGCTGCTGTGGTTAGATGTCTACCCGAGCAGCCATCTTGGATCCTCTGTATCCAATTATTCTTGACAGCTATGCAGTGATTACTGGAATTATTTGAAAAACAAACAAAGCACCACCACAAAACAAAAACAAAAACAAAAACAAACCCCACAAACAACTAGCTGTAGAACCTGGTAGATGACTCTTAATCATTGTGATCTGATGAGATTTATGTAATTTTCTTAGTCATAAAGTTGATGAACTTTTGCTTTAGAACTGTATGACTTGGCAAATCTCCCATTAAAATATAATAATACTTAGACTGTTAAGTATAAATAAAGGCCTAAATGAAAGTAAATTTACCATATTTGCCTACATGATACAGATTCTCATTCACCATCGTTTGAATATGACAGTATGTAGGGACAACAAATTTCATATAATTTGTTAGCATGATTTTAACTTTTAAATATTTAAACATATGGTATTTGTTCCATATTGTACCATTTATACAAATGTTATGGATGTATCTGTTAGCCTTATTTTCCACTGTCTTCTCTCTACTTTCTACCATAGTGCTGCACAGTTGCTTCTGGTTCCCCAGCATGCCCAGCTCTTTTTATATGCTGCTGCCTTTGTTATTGTTCCCTCTTTTTGCAATGTCCTTTCTCTTTTTGCTGCCTGGTAGAATCTCATGAATGTTTCAAAGCTCAACTCTAATGTTTCTTCTCTGGGAAGGCTACCAAATCAGTTGATCTTTCCCATTTCTGTGTTCCCACAGATACTTTTAATGATATATTAAACCACCTACAATAGTGGGCTTTTGAAAACAAGTTATGATTTTATCACTTTGTGATAAATTTCAGAATCCCTAGTGAGGCTTGCAAGGTCCCCACCCCACTAAAACCTAACATACTCAATTCTTTAGCCTCATCACCCACTCTGATCAGACTAGTCTTTTTGTTTCTCAATGGTCTGGACTTTTCTCCCAAACTTTTTGCACATACTGTTCCCTTTGCCTTGGAGACTACTTTCTAACCTGTTGGTGATTTTCCACTCATCTCTTAAATTTTAAATAAACTTTTACATTCCCAGAGAGACTTTCTATAACCCTTAGGTTAGGTTAATTCTGCCTGATATAAGCACACAAAACACAGTATACAATAAAGTGGTGTGTTCAGTGCTCTTTTCCATCAACCTTCATGAGCATGTCTGCCTTTTCCAGAGTTATATTTCCATTAACTATGCAGTTAAGTCTTTAATCCATTTTAAGTTTATTTTTGTATAAGAAGGTAAGAAGGTGGTATAGTTTTATTTTTACATGTATCTGTCAAGTTTTCCCAATACTGTTTATTGACTAGACTGTCTTTATTCCATTGTATATTCTTGTTTTCTTTGTAAAATATTAATTATGTAAGCTTAGATTTATTTCTGGGCATAAAATGTCTGGACACTGGCCCTATTTCTGGGCCTGATGAAGACAAGGATGAAACTTTTTCCATGGGGACAGAGATGAGACACTGGAACCCAGGGGTAGTCCTTTGATTTAGCTTCTACAATGAATCTTACCATGAAACCTCAACCTCCCATGTGTGAGTTTCCTGAAATGCTTTTTTAGCAACCTCATAAAAGGACCCCATTTCCACCGGCAACATTGTGAAAGAAATTTAACCTGGTCAGAGGGGGACTGGATGAGTTAAGTAATGCTTCCCAGAAAAGTGACACCTCTTCTAAGGACTGAAGGATGAACATGTATCACCTATGTGTCTGTAGAAATTAGAAGTGTAGGGTGGTGGCAAGGGGTTTTCCTGGAATTGAAATGTACCTCACATCCTAGCAATGAGAGATCCTGTGATATAGTGAGTGAGGGTGGCTTAGTGGGCATGATCCATGCATTTGTGCAGAATCCTGTGCTTAGAAGGTACCTGTACTTGGTTTAATACTTTGCTGTTGCTACCTTAAAAGTCTTACTGATTTTTGAATGTGGAATCTTAGTTTCTTAGTTGAACAGGGGCTACAACAATAATAGCCATTGCTTTTTCTGAATCTTACTAATTCACAATTAGCTACTGGATGCAATCCTGGAAATAGATCTAAACCAACGCCTGACCTGGAAGGGGAGAGCCCACTACTGAGACTCATCTGAGCATAGTTATTGCACCAGAGCATATGAGAGGGTAATAATAACCAGGCTGGAAAGCTTTGCTAGTGCGGTGGGGTAGGTGGGAAGGACACAAGGAAAGTGTAGTTGTTGTGTATTATTTCTGTTGCCAACACAGAATTACAGGCTTTTAGTCTCCTCTCAGTAAAAGTCCAGGTGTCCTAAGCTTACCCCTTTTCTACATTTTCTTCAGGTTCATGTGTACATCCGTAACCATTAGCACTGGCTGAGTAGGTGCCAGCCCACAAAAGGAACTAACAGGCTAATAGACTTTCTGCTTCATCAGCACCGTGTCCCAGTGCCCTACTGCACAGCTTCTTTTCCAAAGATTGCTTTGAGAGTAATTCAAACTGTGCAGTAATTAAAGGTCTCCCACTGATTTCCTCTTCCCTTGCTTTACTATCAATACTTCAATTTAAACCATTCGGCCCTTTTTTGTCAGCCCTGCTAATTACACCAAATTAATTATGTCAGGTCAAAAAGTTTGTTCAATGTTTAAAGATTGTTAAAAGTGACCCCCGATCTCAGTTTATATGGCTCTCATTTTGCTTTACTTCCAAATAATTCCTGCCAAGGCTACAATAGACAAGGATACAAGTGAAGATGCTGATCTTTGTGCCTGTTCTGGTGGCAAAACTATTTGCAAAGTGAAAAAAATCATCATTTGGAGGAACAAGGTAACCATATTCTTGTCAACTTGGACTCATAAATCCACCTACTTCATGATGAAAATTCTTTCAGTACCAGCATAGGCCCATGGTTATATGTTCTATGTTTCATTTTGTTTGCATCTTTAGGATCTCTGGCAGGGTTGGCCATGGCCTACCATGTGAGCCTGCTCATCCCAACCTACTTTCTCTCTTTAATCGATCCCATTCATTACTATGGTTGTGAATCTTAGGTTATAATGCAGTAATAATGAAATATTTTAAAAAATTTAGTTTTCTTTATTTGAAGTATATATGATTATACTGAACTAAAATAAGGGAGACTATGGTTTGACAGATGGTAACTTATTTTTTTAGTATCCTCTATGTCAGTGATTGGCAGTAAATATGACCTTATTCATATTGGTTTTTAAAAAAATATATATTTTATTGATTTATTACAGAGAGGAAGAGATAGGGATAGAAAGTTAGAAACATCGATGAGAGAGTCACCAATCAGCTGTCTCTTGCACACCCCCTAATGGGGATGTGCCCACAACCAAGGTACATGCCCTTGACCAGAATCAAACCCGGGACCTTTCAGTCCGCAGGCCGACGCTCTATCCACTGAGCCAAACCAGTCTTGGCTCATATTGTTCATAGTAGAATATAATTGGAAACTTTGGACAAATACAATAACATCAATTTACTCTTAAAACTTCCAAGACTAAATTCATTTTTATTCAAATATAGTTTATTTGCTTTCTTACATTTGTATTTGGCTATTCACACAGGCAATTTTAACCTTTTCATGAAATTTGAAGTATTATTCTAGACAGCTGTTGTATCAAATAACAAACAACCTGGCATTAATGTAAAAAGTGTTATTATTTATCACTTTTTCTGATAAACAAAATAATGACTAAGTAAAGTTATTAAACTTTAGCATTGACTTACAATTTTTCAAATACCCTTTAGTGTTTATACCTAAACTATCCCTTCTAGAATTTCTGAAATTATTTTTAGGAGTTCATGATCACACAAGATGAACTTAAAAATTCAGAAATATTCTTCACTTTTGTTGTTGATGTATTTTAAAATGTTGTTCTAGATCGGCTTGAATTCTTTTTCTTGTTTAAGATATAAATAGTGACACTTAAAATAATACTAACAAGGACCACGCATCCAACCACTATCAACACCAAAGAAGAAATGCTAATTCCAGGATTAGGATTTGGATGTATTTCATCAGCATCACCTTGAGGAATAAACAAAGCTACTTGTGCAATGTTGGATATTTTTGATGTCAAACTGCTTTTATCCATACTTTGAATGGCAATGAATATGTGGGTTGCATTTTCTTCTGAGATATTTTCTGGTTTAAATGTAAATGTTTCCTTGGAATTGGCCTCATTTGGTAGCAGTTCAGAAGTGTTTACTTGCAGAGCATCATCAAATTTGTCTCTTAGATCCAGGACACTTTCACTTATTCTTATGATATATTGTTTAACTAAAAAAAAAAAAAAAAAGAGGTACATGCGATTTAGAAACTAGATCATACCATGTTAAATTCCTTTTTATTCATTCTCAAAATATTGTTTAGTTATTCTGAGTTATACTCATATCCAAAGCTTTAATAATTTTTAATATAAACTGAATTCTTACCTTTTAATTGCCATTGCTACCTTTTTTGTTTGAAAATGGGACCACTTACATGTGTTATATTTGATTGATTTAGAATATCTATAGTAACAAAAGGGTAACATGCTAATTTGACCAAGTCGACCAGACATCTTCCGGACATGCGACTTCCTTCTGGACAAAACCATGGTGGCAGGGGCTAAGGCAGAGGCAGTTAGGAGTGATCAGGCCGGCAGGAGAGCAAGAAGTTAGGGGCAAGATCAGGCCAGCACAGGGAGCATGCAGTTAGGGGTGATAAGACTGGCAGAGGAGGGAAGTTATTGATAATCAGGCTGGCAGGGGAGAGCAGTTGGGGGTGATCAGGCCATCAGGGGAAGGCAGTTGGGGGGTGATCAGGCTGGCAAGCAGAGGTGGTTAGGGGTGATCAAGCAGACAGGCAGGTGAGTGGTTAGGAGCCAGTGGTCCCAGATTGTGAGAGGGATGTCCAACTGCCTGTGGGATAGGACCTAAACTGCAGGTGGAGATCTCCCAAGGGGTCCCAAAGTGGAGAGGGTGCAGGCAGAGCTGAGGGACACCTCTCCTTCCATGAATTTCATGCACCAGGCCTCTAATCAGATTATAAAATTAATACTTTCTGATTTATTAAATAAAAATTATTCTCCCATCCACCCTTATACTTTTGTTTTTGAATGAGCATATTTCACATAATCAGTGTTGCATGACACTTCATCCTTACCTTTTCCAACATCAAAATTGTCTCCTGGTGCTGTCCATGTTAGATTAATCATATCCCCATCAGGTGTGGCCTCAAGATCTGTGATTTGACTTGGTGGGTAGAGGTCAGGCAAGGGCAATGTTGGAATATTTGAAACCACAAATGCACTTCCAATTGCTGTTCTGGTAAAACTCTCCAAATTTGGCTGAGTATCCTCATTAATTTCAGGTCTTGGTGGATTCCCTTCAATTTTCCCTGCATTAAACATTTCCTTGTTTATAACAAGCACAGAACTACTAGTATTTTCAATTGAATACCCATCCTACTTGTTCTCTCCTTTTATCTGTATATATAAAAGCCTAAGTGACAGTTCGACCAGTAGCTATGACACACACTGACCACCAGGGGGAAGATGCTCAACACACAGGCATGGAAATGTGGAACAGACTGATGAATCTCAGGGGGAAGCAGGGAGGGGAGAGGGCAGGAAGGGATTAACCAAAGATCTTATATGCATACTAGAGGCCTGATGCAGAGATTCGTGCACAGGCGGGGTCCCTCGGCCTGGCCTTCAGGGATTGAGCCAAAACTGGCTCTCCAACATCCCCTGAGCGCTCCCAGATTGTAAGAAGGTGCAGGCCAGGCCGAGGGACTCTACCAGTGCACGAATCCATGCACCAGGCCTCTAGTATATATATTGGGCAAAAGTAATTTTACAGTTGTGAGTATATGAAACAGAGTTCTTATATTATTTATTGTCTTATTTTTCACACGAACAACTGTAAATCTACTTGTGCCCCACTACCTATATACATTTTATTAATTGAAACAGTGTTTATTCTTATTTATTATTGGCTTATTTTCCACAAGAACAACTGTAAATAGTTTGCCCCACTATATCTGTGTTTTACTAAGTTTAGTGACAAAGTAATAAGCATCAATTGGTGGGAGAACTTGTTTTCTTTAGTATCCTGACCAGGATATTGTAGGATAATGAATTGCTAAGGAAGTAAGGCTTCCCTGAATAGAAATAATACTATAAAATTCAATATATACTTTTAATGGGAATTCTTTGTTTCTCAGTTTATCTTTAAGTTGGGAATAAACCTGGGGAAATTATTTCTGGCTTCCCTCTAACCACTGTACCACATTCTTCCCTTCCTCCCTGTTGCAAGTGCTAAGGAATAATACTTCAGGTTATATTCCAATTGTCAACAGAAAGCCCATGAAAAGCCATAAGAGAAGAGGCAAAACAGGAAAATTAATAAGGAATAAATTCTTAATCCTTATATCACCTTTCTCAATACATTTTTCGTTTGACTTAATAAAAATATTCGAAATAAATGTTTTACTCACTGACTTATGCTTAGGTACATTACATATTACCCTGTTTCCTTCACCCTTAGTTGAAAATCTGGCATATTATTGTTGCTGAGGTAAGATGCTTCAAATTAATTTAATGGCTGACATTTATTGAATGCTTACCATATGCTAGACACTGTACCAAAGCATAGGTTAATTTAAAGGCAAATCTCAGTATGACTGAGAACTTCATTCCAGAAATGGGAAAAGCTAAACTCTGAGTTGTAAAATGTTTGAAGCTTTAACCATATCAACTCACAAATATTACAGCCAGCACTGAGTTTCAGTTATCATGAATTACTCACCATTCACTACCCAGCCTGGTATGTATACAGCTCTATTTGATGGGAGCCTTAAGTTTCGTGTGGCAGTGTTTGCTCCTCCATGAGCTCGTACTTTTAAACTATATCTGCCATTTTCTGAATAAGCTGTAAAATATCTGGAGTAGACCCCATCATCCTTGAAAGTGTCAGCACCTTGTTATAGAAATTAAGGAATGAATTATTATTATAAAGAAAAAGAGAAATTTATACATTTTCCAAAGCAAGCATATATCCTTTGTAAGCATATCCCTTAGAATGAGCTCCCTATTTTTCACGGGGCCACCTCTTGATGATAGGTTATAAATAGTCTGAATTAATTACATTGCATATGATACTGATAGAAATCCATGGTAATTCAGATGTCTATCAAATGGGTGTTGTTGTTTTTTTCCTTGCTCACTGAACTCTCAAAAGAAGGATCAGTTCCCAGAATAACCCAGAGTCTGTGAAAAAGATCTTTTAAGTACCGCTCACCCATGCACACCAAGAAAGAGCATGGCCCACACTGTGTTTTGTTTCATGCTAGTCAAACCTGATATCTAATGCTGTTGTAATGTACCCTCCTGTCTTGTAGCATTTCTGCCTGCCCTTGGGCCTCAGTTCCCAGGAACTTTTTCAGTATTTGCAGCTTGGGAATTACTCTTGTCTGTCCCTCTTCCCTGCTAGGGGCCCAGGTTCTACCCCTTCACCCCTTATGGAAGCTGTGTTTCACTCTTTCTGGCTAGACTTTCTTGATGATATGCCCCGAAGAAACACTTGTTCAAAATTCTTGATGCTGTCCTCTGTTGAGTGAGACCTTTCTATCTGGTGATAGACATTGGTTGTCTAGGTGATGAACAATAATGACAGCAAATAACATTTATTGAGTATTACTATGTGCATGACACTTGCTAATTACTTTGTAGGTTTTACCTGAATAGAATTTCCTGCTGTCCCTGTTGTTCATAATCTGCATTAATTTTCTTGGTGTTCCTCACTCCCCGACACTGTCACAGAACCCATAACATATCCCGAATTATGAAAATATAGGCTTATTCTTTAAAAAAGAAAAACAATGTGAATTACCTGCACCATTATCAAAAAGTTCCAAAACTTCCGTTTTTCCATTATTTGATTCAATGAATGCAGTCACACTGGCTCCAATAATGGGTGTATACCCTTGTAGAATTTCTGCGTAAACAATCATTGGGCTGGGGAAGCTGTTTGTGTCTTTATTCATTTTAGCATTCACTGTGATTGGGGGCACAGAAGAATTTGCTGCTCGAGAATTAACTGTTATAGTTAATGTTTCTGAGTTTTCTTTGGCTTGAAGACTGTAAGTCCAAACACCCACCTAAAAATTCAATGGAAGTAGAGTATCAGATCAAGCTATTTTCTGTGTTTCCATTATCTAACTCTAAAATAAATCTTAGAAATATATTGTAGAATAAACAGGGCTTTGAAATTTTTGAGATTTTAAAAAAAGTAAATGGATAAAAATCAAGGCAATTTGGACAGGGCATTCTGGCTAGTGTCATGCATGGTGTCCAAACTTTGTGAAACCTCAGCTGGGAAAAATAAGTTTTGGAAAGTTTTTCTTGGTCTTGGCCTTAAGGAGTTCAGAGATTTTTAAATTCTTTCCCCCTATTTTTAAAATTAAGGTATTGCATGTGTACATATCTTCCCATTGCCCCCCCTTCCACTCTCATACATGCCTTCACCCCCAGTGTCTTGCATCCATTGATTATGCTTATATGCATGCATATAAGTCATTCGATTTATTTCTTATCTCCCCCACTTCTCCCTAACCTTCCTGCTGTAATTTGACAGTCTGGTGCTTTACTGCCTCTGTATCTATCTTTTTGTTCATCAGTTTATAATGTTCTTTATTATCCACAAATTAATGAGATCAAGTGGTATTTTTCTTTCATTGACTGGCTTATTTCACTTAGCATAATGGTCTCCAGTTCCATCCAGGTTGCTGAAAATGGTAAGAATTCCTTCTTTTTTATGGCAGCATAGTATGCCATTGTGTAGATGTACCACAATTTTCTGATCCAGTAATCTGCTGACAGGTACCTAGGCTGTTTCCAAATCTTAGCTATTGTAAATTGTGCTGCTATGAATGTAGGGGTGCATATATCCTTTCTGATTGGTTTTTCTGGTTTCTTGGGATATATTCCTAGAAGTGGGATTACTGGATTGAATGGGAGTTCCATTTTTAATTTTTAGAAATCTCCACACTATTTTCCACAGTGGCTGCATCAGTTTGTATTCCTATCATCAGTGTACGAGGGTTCCTTTTACTCTACATCCCTCGCCTGCACTTGTCATTTGTTGATGACAGCCATTCTGATATGTGTGAGATGGTACCACATTGTTGTTTTGATTTGCATCTCTTGGATAATTAGTGACTTTGAGCATGTTTTCATGTGTATCTTGGCCTTCCTCCTGTCTTCTTTCAAAAAAATTCTATTTAGTTCTATTGCCCATTTTTTAATGATTTTTAATTCTTTATTCTATGATTCTGTAATAAAAATAAGCTGTACAGATTCACTACATTGCCTTCTTAAAGTTATTCTTAGCCTATATAATTTCCCCCTTCTCTTCCTTCCTCCTAATGCATGCATTCTTCTTTCCTTTTCCTGCCACCATAATTTTCAGGACCATACAGGCATAGAAAGTACATTTTACTTTATCTAAATTTTGAAGATGATACAAGTATTGGTACTCATATTTATGATATTAAACAATGTATTTTTAGCTATGAAACAGATTTATATGAAAATAAAAAAGCTGATTGCTTACCTTTGCAATTCCTGGAACACTGAAATAGGCCATTTTGGAAGCAGTATCCACTGTGAAATTTTTCATTGGTGTCCCATTGGGATCCAAGAGAGAAATAATGGGCTGCTTTTTTACCCATGTGATCAGAAAGAATGTGTCCTTTCCCACAGTGCTATCAATTATTACAGTTCCGTTCATCCAGAGACTATCTATGAGTGTGAATCCCTTACTTTCAATCTGTATAAATATATATTTTAAAATTAGTGACTGGAGAAAAGAGAAATTTTATTCTTTTTTCTTTAAAAAAAAAAAACACCCCAAAACACCATAGTTCTTAATTTCTGGCCTGAGAACAAGTTTATATAAGGCATACCTCCATAGCCTTGTGATCTCTCTGAAAGCTGATTGGGATGTGACAATTGTTAGTCAGAAAGTATGGACATATAAGGTTTGAGTTAAGACCATTAGAGCAGGAGAATGGGTTTTACAGTTGAGAAGTGGCTGTATTATTTTTTTCCTAGTCATTTTTGTATGCATCTACCTGAGATTTTAGCATTAAAGAATGCTACAATATCAAAGAAGAATTAGCTATAGTTGTGTGTGTGTGTGTGTGTGTGTGTGTGTGTGTGTGTGTGTAAGAGAGAGAGAGACAGAGAGAGAGAGAGAGAGGGAGGGAGAGGGAGAGGGAGAAGGAGAGGGAGGGAGGGAGAGGGAGAAGGAGAGGGAGAGGGAGAGGGAGAGGGAGAGGGAGAGGGAGAGGGAGAGGGAGAGGGAGAGGGAGAGGGAGAGGGAGGGGGAGGGGGAGAGGGAGAGGGAGAGGGAGAGGGAGAGGGAGAGGGAGAGGGAGAGGGAGGGGGAGAGGGAGAGGGAGAGGGAGAGATCCTCAGTTTACCTATCTTCATGATGGTGGCTACAGTACTAGTATTTGAGTAGAGACATAGTTAGGTAAGGGCCAGCAAGTAATGAGACAAAGACTCATGAATATTTTCCTGATGTGAAAACTTCACATACTTTTTCACACACTTTTACACCTAGAGTTAGTAGCCCCGAACAATAAACATGTTCAGCAAGAGAATAAATAGGGCAAAAGGATATTTATGAAGGCTGAAATATTGAGAAGTGCATGTTAGGATCTTTCTTTGAGAGGAGCCTCAAAGGAAGTTATTCAAGTTTTTGAGGATGGCTCATAGTAAAGTACAGCAAATTTTATCTACTGACCAAGAAAGTGCTTCCTACAGATGTGTCATTCCAGGAAATGATGGGAAACTCAGCTTCTATTCTAACTTAGTCCTTAACCAAAAATACCTCCATAACAGTATTGAGATAAGAGAAGAATTGAAACATCATCACATTGTCAAAAATCTCAGTCCTATGTTAAGTGGACAAAATATTATTATCAAGTTAATCTGAATGTGATTGACATTTTAGACTCCCTGTTAAGAACATGTAAGAAGTTAGAAAGCTTTGACTACATAGCAGTATTAGGGGACAATAACTGAGTAAAGAGTAGGAAGCAATCTTTCCTCTGTATTCCAGCTGCCATGTTTAGTGAGGAAACAAAACCTTTCTGCCCCTTCAATATAATTTAAAAAGTCTACGTTTAAAACTCTGACCACTTCCTGTATGCAAATGACCGTTTTTTTGGCTGATTTTCCACATTCCACTTTTATATTTAAAATTTCTTTAAGATATTCCATTTTAATGTCCCACCATCCACTAAAAACCACTAAGCTTTAAACAGAACACAAAGCAATATCTTCAAAATCAGCTCTCCCTCTTTACCTGTCAACTTTAGATAGTAGTATCATCATTTTCTAAGTCAACCAGATTGAAACCCTCAGAAATTAGTCTTAGTCTACTTCAGTTTGTTCTCCATACATTACCAAGCTAGATCCAAGATGAATTTTTAATCTGTTTGCAAAGTGAAGCTACAAACCAGATCTTGACATCAATCTGCACATGCAATCCTAATCCTGCATCCTATAATTTATGTGCTCTTCACTGTTGGAGACCAGAGGAAAATAAGTTTGTTTAGTTGATCATGTCAAGTTTTAATGTAGGCATAGACCTAATGAACTGGGAGATGGAAGACAAGTTTTCACATAAGGTGACATGATGTAGATTTGGTGGGAAAGGATAGGGATAAAAACAGAATTTTATAAAAAAATATTTTCAAGGAAATAATTGACATTTTATATTGGACATGAATGAAGAATCAAAGTTTAGTCAAAGGTTTTGAATCTAAGTAACAGAAAATGAGGGTGTTATTTAAACACAGGTGAAAAAAAGAGTTGAGTTCAGAAGAGAGGTGAATAAAATAGAAAGCCAGTGAAAAAAGTGGTTGAACACATAAAGGAAACATTAATTTTTGGATCTGTAATGATTATTCACTCTCTTACTTCAGATAAAATTCTTTCCAAGATACTTTCCTTCCATATCTAATCCAGGTTCTTGAGTTCATTCACCTAACCTAAATTTATTTCACAGCAGTGAAGGATGAGAGAAATCTTGAAAGTATGGTATATTTTTATGTATTTGTAGAAAAATGGATGCTGTATTATTGGGCAAAGTCTATATTTTATGAAAAATTTAACATTCAAAAAATATATTTCAGAGAGGAAGGGAGAGGGAGAAAGAGACAGAAACATTAATGATGAGAGGATCATTGATCAGCTGTATGTGCCCTTGACCAGAATCAAAGCTGGGACCCTTCAGTTTCCAGGCTGACACTCTGTTCACTGAGCCAAACCAACTAGGGCAAAATTTAACATTTTGATGTTATTCTTTAGCCAAATTCTATATAAGAAGAAAAAGAAAAAAATCTATTTCATTACTATTTTACTACTTAATTTGGCCATATCTGAAGAATGGCCATGAATTTCTATTACATACTTAGTTTTGATTTTAATTAATAACTTAGAGAAAATATAGAACTCAAAACTTATAATAATCAAAGTATTTTTCTTGGTATGGTTAAATACAAACACAAAAACATGAGGAATTAGAACTCAGACCTGAATAGACTTCTGGGAAATATCAGCGTTTCCTGATGTAAGGGCTCCGAAAGCATCAATGAGGCCATTGTTCTGGGCTATATCTGAGGCAAACAAATGCATTCCTCCTAAAATGTAAATATATTTATAGGTTGCTTTATAGGAAATAAGTACTTATCACAATTTAGTGATTTTTAAGGTAACAGTACACAAAATAATAGTTTCAGTGTATATTACTGAAATAGACTCAAACCAGATAAGTGTAAAATTAACTCTGAAACGTTAACTTAAAAATGTCAAAACCAGAAAGTATAAGCTAACTTTATACCTTACTTATAGAAATTTCAGCTGGTTGAAATACATCAAATAATCATGGAATAATAATAATTAATAATAATAACAATAATAATAAAGATGTTACAACTCCATACATTAAAGCTCACAAACTTCACAAAGCCCTTTAAGGGAATTACTCATTTTAATTTTTGATATGGTTCTTAACAATGTTGACCTTCAGGTATTCCAGTCACAGTGGACCAGAATCAGAAAACGAGGGTGGTTCAAGAGATGCCATATTGAAGTATCCTGACAATAGCTGGCAATGAGGAGACAGAAAAACAGTAAGCAATGGAGACAAGTCTAAAAGATTTACTACTTTTGGGGACTTGAAGCAGAAATAAATTTTCCAGTGGCCATGAAAGCACTTTGAAATTATGTAAGTTTGCACAACTAGGCATTTAAAAAGCAAATGTATAAGATGCTTGAGTGATTAAGACTGACATTAGGCTGACAGGCAAAATGGGCGTATTGGTCCTGCCTGCTTGCAACCAAGGCTGTGGAGACAAACACAGAGGAGCGACGGATCTCTTGGAAATTCAACACGGTGCTGACTACCCAACAAGAAACTGAGAAGTGGCAGACAGAATAGAAGAGTGGGGTCTTAAACCAACCCCCATAGGACAATAAAGCTTAGCAAAGAGAATAACACTTCAATTTTTTGTCCTTTATTAATTTTTTTTAGTGTTGTTATATTTTTTGTATTACTTTTTATTTATTCTATTTTAATTTTTATCATTTTATTTTTTTTTTGCCCATCCTTTTCTTCCTCACGTCTCCCTTTTTCATCCTGTTTTCTCTGTTCCTGTCCCCACTTTAGTTTTTCCTCTCTCCTTTCTTTTAACCCCTTGTTAAAAATTGATCTTCTTTATCTGCTTTATTGACGTGTTATTATTATTGTGGTCTTTGTTAGATTACTCATATATCTAATTTCCCCTTCCCTGCTCCAAGTCCATGCACCCTTCTCTTTTCTCTTTCTTTGCTAATCAATTTTTTAATGCTTTTGTTTTTCCTCTCCTCTCTTATCTCTTCTCCTAATTGTTTAATTAGTTTAGCTCTACATTATGTTTGATGGTCTGATCAATGCTTCTCTGTCTCTGGATCTATTTTTGTTTATCAGTTTATGTTGCTCATTATATTCCACAAATGAGTGAGATGGTGTGATATTTATCTTTCTCTGACTGGCTTATTTCGCTTAGTATAATGCTCTCCAGTTCCATCCATGCTGTTGCAAATGGTAAGAATTCCTTCTTTTTTTATTTTTTATTTTTTTAAAATTTTTATCACAGCATAATGTTCTGGTGTAGATGGGATTGCTTTTTAAGTTTCTCTTCCTCTAAGTTCACTATTGGTGTATAGAAATGCTATAGATTTCTTGGTGTTAATTTTGTATCCTGCTACATTGTCAAACTCATTTATTAAATATAATATTTTTTTGATGGAGTCTTTAGGGTTTTACTTTTTCTTTTCTAATTTGTATCCTTTTATTTCTTCTTGTCTGATCGCAATGGCTGTACTTTCAGTATTATGTCAAACAGGAGTGGTGAGAGTGAAGGGATGCCCACTTTCAAAACTCCTGTTAGACATAGTACTGGAAGTGCTAGCCATAGCAATCAGACAAAAAGAAGAAATAAAAGGCATCCAAACTGGAAAGGAAGAAATAAAACTGTCATTATTCACAGATGACATGATATTGTACATAGAAAACCCTAAAGATACTATTAAAAAAAACTATTAGAATTAATAAATGAATTTGGCAATGTAGCAGGATACAAAATTAACACCCCAAAATCAATGGCTGTTTTATACACCAATAATGAACTCACAGAAAGAGAAACCGAAAAACAAAACAAAAAACAAAGCCCACCTCATTTACCATTGCAACAAAAAAATTAAGATACCAGGAATAAACTTAACTAAGGAGGTAAAAGACCTGTACTTGGAAAACTATAGAATGTTGAAAAAAGTGATAGAGGAAGATATAAACAAATGGAAGAATATACTGTGTTCATGGATTGGTAGAATCAACAACATTAAAATGTCCATACTACCCAAAGCCATCTATCGATTCAATGTAATCCCTATGAAAATACCAATGGAGTATTTCACAGACCTAGAACAAACTTTCCAAAAATTCATCTTAATATTTAAAGGGGTAATATGTAAATTAGGCCAATACACCATAACAGAACTACCGAACAGGAGGAGGTTGTGTGCGCAGGTGAGGACTGGAGCGGAGACAGAGATGGGGGCCTGCCTGACCCAGTGTGGTGGCTCTGGCAGCCCAGAGCAGACACAGTTAGGGGGGTCTGGGTGGGGTTCTGGGGCTGGCCAAACTGTCTCAGGCAGCCCTGGAGCGGACATAGGTCGCGGGGGGGGGCGGGGGAGGGAGGGCGCGGACAGAGGGGCCTGGGGTGGAAGTCAGATGTGGGTCCAGGCTGCCTGTGGTGCCTGTCTTGCCTGACTCCCCCATCGGCGGCCTGAGGAGTGCCTCCTCGCATGGCGGGAGGCGGGGCGCCTCCTCACGCGCAGTTTCAGTGGTAAGCTCGGCCTCTGGTATGGGATAAAGAAAGACCCCAATAACTGCATTAATCTTGAAAAAGAAGAACAAAGTTGGAGGGATCAGATATAAAGCTATATTACAAAGCCACAGTGCTCAAAACTTCCTGGCATCAGCACAAGAACAGACATAAAGACCAATGGGACGAAATAGAGAACCCAGAGTTCAACCTAAGACATTAGCTGAATTAATATTTGACAAAGGAGGCAAGAGCACACAATGGAGTGAAGACAGTCTCTTCAATAAATGGTGTTAAGGAAATTGGACAGACACATGCAAAAAAAAAAAAAAAATGAAACTAGACCACCCACTTACACCATAATAGATAAAGGACTTAAACGTAAGACAGGGAATCATAAAAATCTTAGAAGAATTCATAGGCAGCAAAATAGCAGACATATGTCATAGCAATATCTTTACAGATACAGCTCCTAGGACAATGGATACTAAGGAGAAAATAAACAAAAGGGACTACATCAAAATAAAAAGCCTCTGCACAGCACAAGAAACCATCAACAAAACAATAAGACAGCCCACTGCATGGGAGATCATGTTGCCAATGTTAGCTCCAATAAGGGTTTAATTTCTAAAATTTATAGGGAACTCATACAACTTAACAAATGGAAAGTAAACAATCCAATAAAAAATGGGCAAAGAACTTAAATAGACATTTTTAGGGAGAGGACATACAGAAGGCCTAGAGACATATGAAAACAAGCTCAAAATCACTAATTATCTGAGAGATGATTAAAATAAAAATGACAAATGAGGTACCATCTCACACCTGTCAGAATGGCTATTCTCAACAAATCAACGAACAATAGGTGCTGGCGAGGATGTGGAGAAAAAGGAACCCCCATGCACTGCTGGTGGGAATGCAGACTGGTGGAAAACAGAATGGAGTTTCCTCAAAAAACTAAAAATGGAACTCCCATTTGACCAAGTAATTTTACTTCCAGGAATATATCCCAAGAAATCAGAAACACTAGTCAGAAAGGATATATGCACCCCTATGTTCATAGCAGCACAATTTACTGGTAAGTGCTCATCAGCAGATGAATGGATTAAAAACCTGTGCTACATCGATACAATGAATTACTACACTGCAGTAAAAAAAAAAAAAAAAAAAGGAACTTTTACCATTTGCAGCAGCATGGATGGACCTGGAAAGCATTACGCTAAGAAAAATAAAGCAGTCAGAGAAAGATAAGTATCACATGATCTCACTCACTTGTGGAAAATAATGAACCAACATAAACTGATGAACACAAATTGACCTAGAGTCAAAGAAACATCAAACAGACCCTCAAACCTCAGAGGAAAGTCAGTGGGGCAGGAGAGGAGGAAAAGAGCAACCAAAGGACTTGTATGCATGCATATAAGCCTAACCAATGGACACAGACAGTAGAGGGGTGAGGATATGTGCTGGTGTGTGGGAATGGCCGGGGAGTGGTTAATGGGGGGAAGGAAACATGAAATACTTTAAACAATAAATAATTTTTATAAAAGCATGTGTGTATTTGGTAACAATAGAAGCCAACTCAATATTGATATTCATAAAGTTGTAAATTATGTGTTCTCTACTATATTTAAGAAGGCACATGTAGTCCATTTTCATCAGCTATCTCTGTATCTAAGATGACAGCTACCAGTGTAAATGTTTATCTAAAAACTTATTTTTAACATCTACCCATTCTGAGCCTCTGTGAATCCCATTCCCTCGCTACACTTGCAGCCAAAGTAATCTCTCTTCTCATGGATTTCTTACTATCCCTCCATGTGCCTTGCAGTCATCCCAACATGATTTCTTGACTCATGACCTGATCATCTTTTCTAACCCCCTTTTTCTCCAGAGAAATTCAACAACTTGTTCAAGGCCCAGCTCAGAAGTCACTTTGTCTCTCATGCCTTCTTTCTCAGATTTTATACAACCCTGGGAGAATTAATGGCTTCAACTCACACAGTGCTTGAGTTCTATAGATTCCCCCTGTTATGGAGGAGTGTTATCTGAATATGTACCTGATTAGTAGTTTTATTTGTCTCTCTAGTCAGCAGGAATCTGAGCATCTTGAACACAGAGATCAGGTCTGGTTTAATTCTGGTCCCTAGTTCCTGGCACAGTGCCTTCAGAACTCATGAGAAGTTGAGTTGTCAGTCTCTGCACTTACACATTGCTATTAAAGAACTACAATATAGAGGTCATATTTTACCTGTTACATTGCTCATCTCTATGACTGCTCTATCAGCAGATGGTCCCAAAGCAATGAAGTGAATAATGGCCCCGCTTTCTTTTACTTTATCAAGACAATTTCCTGCAGAGCCATCCTCCCCATCAGTCAGCAGCACTATTTCAGATCCATCTATTTGGGAGTATGTTTTTCTTATTACCTGTAAGCATAATCAGAGCATAATTACCACAGGTTCCTAAATCAAGTAGACTTATGGGAGATGAGGAAAAGGTGTACAGAGAAAATAAAAAAGTATCCAGAAAAGAATAGAAAGCTTCTGTTTTAAAATTGTAGGATCTGCAGGCAGCAACCCCCAAGGCAACTTCATCATTACTCTATTTTCTGTCTGTCTGCTTAAGGGAATGTTTGCTCAAATGAAGCTATAAGGGAGCAGGGCTTTGGAACATTGTACTTGGTTTAAGTATCAATGATATCTCAGTCTGGGAAGTCAGGTCAACCAGATACCAAAAGTATAATTGCAGAGTGTGGCATTAAATATTTCTCTCCTTTGACTAAACTTCCCTATCACAAGGCTTCAGTGTATAAAATCTGTTGCATAGACAGCTATATACATTAAAAAACCACTTCAATATTAAAAAAACCAACACATTATGATTTCAAATTAGGAAACCCTTCATATACTTTTAGAAAAAGAGTATAGGAAGTCCTAAACAGGTCAAGATTAGGGATCTTGTTATATAATTTTTATTTTACTTCTAAATCTAACAATCACAAAACTAAGTATATCGATGTTGTTCTGAGAATACATGAATTATGTTTATTGAGATGGAATTCTATTTGGTAGCTTGATCCCTTTTCCTACAGTGTCAATCAATTTACACTCAGATTTCTGAATCTAGTCTCTTGTAGAAAAGGATAAAGAGAATTTGTCACAGAATAGCAACTAATACATTTCATCTTCTCTGACACATTTAATTGGCAATGGCTTTTCGGTGTACTATTTTGAGAAACTGAGGGCAGGCCAAGAGAAATATGACTGATTTATCAGTGGCTTTCATGGACTTGGAATGGGGATGTGAGTAGATTGGCAGAAAAGGTTTGGAATACAGAAATCCCTAATAAACTTGGGGTCAGGGAATAATATGAACATCCTCATTTAAATTTTTGCATGTTTTAAGGCAAATAATCACACACACACACTCATACACACACACACGGCATTTTTTGGGAAATATGCTTTGACATGCACTAAAACAAAACTGAGAAATAGGGAATTTTTTTGTACATTTACAATATTTATATAGCATCCCCATCACTTTACCCCTACACATTTAATTGAAAAATGAATATCCAAAGATGAAACAGATTTCTCTTGTTCACCTCTCCCTTTCTTGTATTAGTTATTCACTGAGCATTTAATGTATGTTAGTCACTGTCCTGGCTGCTGGAGATTCAGCAGGAACTACATGATTCTTACATTCCTGGAAAGAATAGAATTAAATTTAAAAAATATGTATTGAGGTATAGATGAGCAACTAAGGAGATATAGAGATAATTAATAAAGACTCAATTAATATATTCCATAGTTAATAGAAAAAACAATATTATAGTGCTACATTTTTTTTTAGAACATTTGCTAACTGTTAAATCTATTTTATATAATGTGTAATTTAATCCAAGTCCAAGCTTCTAATCTGTCATTAGACCTATCCTACTATGCTCTTACTCCCTACAGTTCATTTTATACAGAGCAATCAGAATAATTTTCCTAAATCATTATTGATGACCTATTTAAAATTTTATTAATTTCAGAGAGGGAGGCAGAGGAATAGAGAAATAGAAACATCAATGATAAGAGAGAATCATTGATCAGCCACCTCCTGTAGGCCTCCTACTGGGCTAGACTGCACCCCAGGCATGTGCCTTTGACCATAATCAAATCTGGGATCCTTTAGTTTGCAGGCGACCACTCTATCCATTGAGTGAAATCGGCTAGGGCAATGATCAATTTCTTTCTTTCTTTCTTTCTTTCTTTCTTTCTTTCTTTCTTTCTTTCTTTCTTTCTTTCTTTCTTTCTTTCTTTCTTTCTTTCTTTCTTTCTTTCTTTCTTTCTTTCTTTCTTTCTTTCTTTCTTTCCTTCCTTCCTTCCTTCCTTCCTTCCTTCCTCTCTCTCTCTCTCTCTCTCTCTCTCTCTCTCTCTCTCTCTCTCTCTCTCTCTCTCTCTCTTTCTTTCATATATTTTATTGATTTTTTACAGAGAGGAAGGGAGAGAGAGAGAGAGCTAGAAACGTCGATGAGAGAGAAACATAGATCAGCTGCCTCTTGCACACCCCCTACCGGGGATATGCCCGCAACCAATGTACATGCCATTGACCGGAATCGAACTTGGGACCTTTCAGTCCGCAGACCGACGCTCTGCCACTGAGCCAAACCGGCTTCGGCGCAGTGATCAATTTCTGATACTTAAAACTGTTTTGTTGTGCTTAAAATAAAATAAGACGTCTTATTTTTTAAAGATTTGAAAGATCTAGCCATTATCTACCTGCCAACTACATTTCATATGCCCTCATTTGTCAAACATCAGTGCTGCTATCTCTAATAATTTTTAGAATAATTCAGGTTTTCCCACCTCTTTCTTAAGGGACTTTGCACTTTTCTTTCTGCCTGAACCAATGGCATATAAATATATATTGTGATAGATTTATGCATTTCAGTTCTCTATTATATGCTTTGAAACTTTATTTGCTATTTTTTCATATCACTTCATATTATTATTTTTAAAACAATTTCTTCCATAGTACTTCAACTGTCCTTTTGTTCTTTTATTTTTCTCTTTCATGAATGCCATATTTTTTGGAAGCTTGTTTAGACCAAGTTAATGGCCATTTAAACTTTCTCCACATGAATATGAGTTCACTTTTTGAAGAACAAGAATTATATGTCACAGGGTGGGCATCAGGATTTTTAGAGATGCTTAGGTGGCGCATGGCCAAAAACGGGTTGGTAACCACTGGGTTAAAGCATAGAGTATCAGAAAAGAGAATTGAGAAATATAGGCTGGAGAAAGAAATGAGAGCAGTTTTACTGAGGGAGTGATAGACGTTTTGAATAGCATCAGACTGAGGAATTCAGATATAATTTTATAGATTGTGAGGAAAGCATATAGATTTCTAAGCAGGAAAGTGACACATTTGATATTAATTATAAGCTAAAGATACAATTTGGAAGAAAATATGGTTCATAATAATAGTAGTAAATTATACATTTACTATGTAATATTTGAACATTGTCCTATGAACACACATATATATCATTTCATTTCATTCTCATGATAATTATATGAAGTAAACATTCTTATTTGCCTATATTTTATAGATAAGGCATTGAGAGTCCAAAGATACTGAAAATGTTGCCTAAGACCACAAAACTGGTAAATAGCAGTCAGTACTTTGATGTCAAAACTCATGTTCTCACCAGTATTCCTTATCCTATTACTATCAGTCCTTGCTACATCTACTTAATAAGTAAACATCAGTTTATCTGAATGTCACAGAGACTGAAACGATGATTGGCCAAAGTGGAATCAGACCATTTAACTTGTTTAATTGCCTTAAAATTTGATGACTTTTGATGCTCAATCACTCATTTATTTAACTAACATTTATTGAGCACTGACGATTGCAAGGTAAAAGAATGTGTAAACAAACCATCAAGTTCCTGATTTTATTGGACTTATATTCTACTGGCATTTTTATATCAATATACTAGAGTCCCAGTGCACAAAATTCATACATGGGGGGTGGGGAGTGAATCCTTCAGCTCAGCATGCACCCTCCCCAATCTGGGACCCCTCAAGGGATGTCCGACTGCCCATTTAGGCCCAATCCCACCGGACATCCCTCTCACAATCCAAGACTGTTGGCTCCCAACTGCTCACCTGCCTGTCTGCCTGATTGTCCCTAACCACTTCTGCCTGCCAGCCTGATCACCCACTAACCACGCCCTGCCAGCCTGACTGACGCGTAACTGCTCCCCCGCTGGCTCGATTGACCCTAACTTCCCTCTCCTGCAGGCCTGGTGCCCCCCAACTGCCCTCCCCTGCAAGGCTGATTGCTCCCAACTGTCCTCCCCTGCAGGGCTGATTGTCCTCAACTGCCCTCCCTTGTAGGCCTGATCTTTCCCAACTGCCCTCTCCTGCTGGCTTGATTGCCCACAACTGCCCTCCTCTGCTGGCCATCTTGTGGTGACCATCTTGTGTCCACCTTGGGGCGGCCATCTTTGGAGTGATGGTCAATTTGCATATTGCTCTTTTATTAGATAGAATATCAGTTTATTCATTGATTCACTGACCCATTTAAAGAAATCAAGTGAATTTTTAAAATTCTTAGTTCTGTATTTCTTATAATTATGTTAAAATTAGTAACTATGTGCAGCAGCACTAATAGAAAAATGTTCTAATGACAAAAAACAAACTATAAATGCAGTATGAGGTTCACCTGAAATGCTACATCAATTCCAGCACAGATGGAAGTTCCCCCACCAGCTGCTGGAGGCAAGCTGTTCAAGAGCTGATTTCTTTCATTGGTGCTTATTATTTGGATTAGCTCACTTTTAATGGAGGCAGAACTATCAAAGTGCACCATTCCCACCCAGGTTCCATTTTCAATAGCTTGTAGCAGGAAATATTTTGCTGCTTGATTCATTCGATTTAGGCGTTCACCCTGAATGAAAAAGGACAAGAAAAACAACCAATTAGTTTTGACTGGAAAATAATAGTAGATTACATAAAATAAGTAAGCAGAATTTATTAAGAATTTTCTATTAGTAATTGGTATCATTAAAGAAAACAATTTTTTAATTGATAAAATTTAAAAACATAGTTACATTTATTATGGAACATATGGTAAGAAACACAGGCTTTTAACTAGAAGTGATTCTTGGATGTTTGGCCCTTAAATTACAGGGGCAGATTCAGGGGTGTGGGTTGGAATTGAGGGGTGATGACTCACATCTTAGAGACTTCCTAATTACTCCTGGGGTGTTATCAACGTGAAACCACTCCCCATGTCCCACAATATCAAACCAGCCTGTCATGGACTCCAACTAGAGACTGAAATCTCCCTACCCACTGGAGACTAGACAACTCAAAAGTTTCTTGAGTTAAAGCAAATTTCTGAGAGGCTCTGTTCTTTCTTCTGCTCCTAACCTCTCCCCAACATTTATCCACCAATAGATGAATTGGCATTGGTTCTGTGGCAACCCATTAAGACTCACATCCCTTTTACCTAGGTGAATGCCCAGGAGGTAAATCTCTTCATACATTTGCCTTTTCCAATCCCTTAACACCAATTTATCTGTAGTACTGTCACCCCTCCCCCTTAACCTGTGCCCAAATTTCCTTCTAAGCTCCCTAGATCCAAGTCACAGCGAGAAACTTCTTCAGCTCCATCGTTAAGGGCTCTCTTTGCTACTTTGCTTTATCTTTAAGCCAGGCTCTGTCATCTCTTCCCAATGACACCTCCTAGAACACTCCTATGTGCTGGTGTCTAGCACTGATGCTCTTTCTGAAACACTGTGCTATTGTGGATGATTCTCTGCCCTTTCTGTAACCATGCAACCCTCCGTTTGAATACATTATCTTTTTATCTCCAGTATGCTCAGTCCTGTCTCAAATGTGCCATTCTTCTGGATGCCTTCTCACAGTATGCCTGCTTGTAATAGTCCATTCATTTCAATAATTATTTATTGAGCACTTATTTATTTATATGTGATAAACCCTGCTCTAGAAAAAAAGGGAGATGAAGATGAATAATAAATAGTTTCAAGTACTAGAGGACATGGTTTCTAGAGGATATGGTTCCAAGTACTGGAGGAGCTCCTAGTCTAGTGGGAGAGAAATGTGTAATTTCAATATAATACATAGAATAGCGGTTTGCACAGTTTATTGTGGGAAACCAGCAGAAGGGCCTTTAGTCCAGCCTGGCAGACCAGTCCATTTCCTGCAGGAAGTGGGCACCTGTAACCAAATTTTGAAGGAGGAGTGTGAGTTAATGTGGTAATGGGGAAGGCAAAGTTTTCTCTGCGGAACTTTCAAGGATACGGATCTTTATTCCTCGAGCCTAGCACCATGCCTACCGTTTACTAAGTCATAGAAGGAACAAGTGGCTGAATCTGACATAACTTCCTTATGGTGATGCTTTATGTTTGTATCATAAAGAATCACTTATATAGATGATAAATAAGATGAACTCTGAATGGAGTTCAGCAATCCACTGTATCCTCATGTCTGTCAAGTAGTTCCAGTAGATAAAGGAGGAGGGTCAGAAAATATTTCTATATTTCAATCTCTCCTTCTGATCTTCTAACTAAATCTTTACTAATGGGCCTAAAAGTTCTCCTCAGTAAACCCTCCAGTTTATGGAAAAAAGAAAGAGTTTTTTTATGTTAAGTCTTTTTAACTGTATTGTCATCCTGCTTTCATTACATTATTCACTGCCCATCTGAGGACTTATCCCACCATGCAATTTAGAACAAGCCAGGTAATGTTCAGAGTGTTCTTAGGCATTCAATCATCCACTAGTCACTATATCTAGAAAAAATTGGCCCATGAACATACGTGCATGCTTCCAGATTTATCAAGAACTAAGCACACAGTTCTATCTCTGATCCTCAGCAATGAAAAGATAGGTGACGGGGGTGAATCCACCATAGGTACGGTGTTTTTAAAATCCTCAGAGCTGCTGATCACCTCCCATGTGCTTCTGGATTCGCACAGTTTGTTTTGTAGATTTGGAGCTTCTCTATTATGGTTTTTTTCATTACAGAATTTAACAACCTAAAAGGTTAATAAGACAAAAAAGTGTTATATATGATACATTTAAACATTGAACAAAAATTTGATAAAAATAAAAAATCTATGTAAATAAGGCATTTTGCTTAATGAAATTTATTCATTGAGGAATCATAAATATTAAGGTAGATTTTTTCAATGGTAGTAATAATAACACTAGTTGAGTGCTTACTATGTGCCAGTCAATGTTCAAAGAACTCTATATTAATACATTTTAATACCTCAGGTCACCTGCACAGATATTTTACAAATATGATAACATGTCCTTTAGTTATAAATATACTATGTGAAGAAATAATTAATATACTTACAGAAGTAATACTTTGCATAAACATTATGGATATCTCTTCAGTTTGATCTTTGTCAGGGAAAAATTGACAGTTTTTTTCATATAGTTTTGTCTTAGGATCAATTTTACATCTATCAAATACACAGCTGTTTCCTTGACATTTATAAACTCTATTTATACCAGTAACACCTGTGGAACACCTGAAAATAAGTGACAGTTAGTCTTTGAGGTGACCTAACCATTAACAATTTTTTGAAAATCTTAAGTGTTTCTATTCACAATGATCCTTATATCAAGGTTTTTATTCTTACTTGACAGTAAAGTTTAAGGATTTCTACCAGAGCAGTTCTCCAAGAAATTTCAGAGGGAAATTTTAAGTGGTATACCTAGTATAGTAGGTCCTCGGGTTATGGTGGAGATCTGTTCCTACAGCGCGACGAAACGCAATTTTTGCTGTAAATTAGAACCCACCTACAAAGCACCTACGTCACTCATATGGAGCACATACACAGCAGTAATGAAGTGACATGATAAAATTTTTTTTAAAAGAACGATAACAATTCCTGACCTTGTTGTAAATACTGTAAATAAAAAACATAAAGCACATATGTATACATTGAAATGATGGAATTTTTAAAATGTAAGTAAATGGGAAATGGCAATATAACCATGAAATAACATATGTCAAGTCCAAGGTAACCAGAGGACTACCTGTATATGCAATGGCTGAGCTATCTGCTGAGATTAAAAAGTTGCTGCTGACCTGTTAACACTAATGACCTGTTAACACTAACTCTATGCTTCCCTTTTCCAAACATCTCTCCTACCATGTTTCCCTGAAAATAAGACATCCTCTGAAAATAAGACCTACTTACAGGTTTCCTTCTGAGTGAAATATAAGGCATCCCCCCGAAAATAAGGTCCTCCCTAGGCTAAACATGAGAGATTTGGTCCACTGTTTCTGAAAGAAATAGAGTCACAAGAAATTCACCAGGAAATCCAGGAATTGTATTGTTATGATGATGTTCCAGAAGATGATGACATGATTGTCATTGAATAAATGAGTAAATTCTTGATACTGTGGGATTCACAGTTTGGTTTGTGTTGACAACTACCATACTACTGTACCATACACAGGTAATAAATTTCCTTTATTTTCATTTAACAATAAATGTGTACCGTATTCTTCTTCATGGAAAAATAAGACATCCCCTGAAAATAAGACCTAGTGCATCTCTGGGAGCAAAAATTAATATAAGACACTGTCTTATTTTCGGGGAAACAGGGTAGTAGCCTTATGGAAGTAAATTGTAGGCACCTTGGCAAGATAACTTGTGAGACCATTTATTCTTGGTTCCACCTTAGACTAAGGTTCTTTATAGATTTTTCCCCCAAAAAGCTACCTCTAAAACAATAGGATGTGACATAACTATAAGTATTTTGGTTATTCAAGGAGCATTTTTATCCAAAGTGAATTGTGGCCTTAGGAATGATTGAAGTATTGCCTAGGACAGTAAAGAATAGTGGAGGCATTTTATACATATATTTTATTGCATGGAATTGGCAACAAGTGCCACTGGCATGTGAATATATCCCATCTATTCAATGTGTTTCCAGTTCATATTTAAGAAACAATGACTAGCTTTCATTCAGTAATTTAGGGAGTCTCCTATATATATGAATGCTACTATAATGATGTTATCTTTACTAACAATCATGAATTTTGCACAGTATAAACTAGACATTTAGGGGGAATATAATATAAACAAAAATAGTCAATGTAATATTCTCTAAAATATGTGTCCTGAAAGTTGTGCTATGACTGATAAAGGGCTTTCACTGAAATAATATATCTTAGAGTTTATACATTTTTGATAAGTCCCAAGCCCCAGCAGGGCATTTAAGATTGAGTAAACTGATGGCAGACAATTTAGATAGATTTCCTCCACCCATTCTGCACTCTTGACCTCAGAACCAAGAGAATTGTCTGTCATTAACTGTGATGTTAAATTGGTATTTTTAAAGTGAATTTTATAAATCTTGGAAATTTCAGTTATGGTTCCTTGAAGCTGGTTGATTTTTTACTCAGCCTGAAATCACTATTTATTAACCATTTTCCCATTCTTGTTTTGACCTCCCGGTATATAGTGCAACCCTTTACACAGAGCCCAACTACAATGTAAATGAGTTCTGGTGGCCATGGTGGAGAGGTATAAAAATATGTCAACTTGACTTCCAAATGTTCTTGAAGTTATGTGTATTTTAAATGGGAAACCAGCCACTTTGAGATACATTTTCTTTTTTAAAAAAGGACACTGTTTTATGTTATAATGTTTATTATCTACATTAGGACAAAGGAATGATTGGCATTTCAAACAAATATAAATCAAACTAAGGAAAATAGGAAGTTACAGCCTGAAGTAATTGAAGAAAATGTAAATGATCATACCTTGTTGCTTCAATTCTTTTAGATGAAGCACTGTAGAAAGGTTCATTGTCATTGTACTCATCAAACACTCCCCAGCGGAGATGGGCCCATTCATGGACAAGTAGTCTGCCTGTGGGAAAATATTTCAAATATATGATTATAATTCAAGTGACAAAATTTGCCCTTCAAATATTTTAAGCAGTGGCTTTTTAAATAAAAAATAATTATACTTATGTTTTAAATAACTGCCAATATTTATATTTTTGTTTGTAAAAAAGCATATAACATTATATTGAATTATAATATGGCATATAGTATATTATCTTTTTATTCTACAACATTAAATCAATGAAACATTTTTTGTGTATGCATGTATGTGCTATGGACAGAATAGACTGGGCTTTAGGTTTTGGTTAATGGGGGTGGAGAACAAATAGTCTTACATATTACAATAGTTTTTTTGGTTCTACAAAGTTCACTCCTACTAACAACATAAACAGATATGTAAAATTTGCAGTACTAAAATTTCATGAGGGCACATTAAATGTTTTAAAATGTCTACAAATGTTCCTTAGGGATTTGATAATGAAAAAATAAAGATTGAAAACATAGCTATAGATTACATATAATGGGGCTAACTAAATAAAGTGATTAATTTATTATATGAAATTAAGTTTTATTAATTATATTTTCAACACTATATTATAAATATAATATAAAATAAGTAGGATGTATTTCTTTACTAGAATAGACTTAGAGAGGAGTCATAATAAAAAAATTTTCTAATAATTTCAGGGTAAATGGAAGAATAAAGGTATACCCATAGCTTGAAATACAGAAAGAAAAAACAGTAGACTTTTTGCTTTATCAATACTAAGAAAAACTTCAAAGGAAATAGAAATGGAGAAGATGGAAATATAGTCTGTTCTGCTACCATGTGTTTCTCTAACTCAAATGAATTCATGAAATTGGAAAATTAGAACAAAATGTCAGTATTATGCAAAAGTCATTTTTTCTTTGTTAAGTCTTTGCTACTCAAAAGTCATTTTTTCTTTGTTAAGTCTTTGCTACTCAAAATATGTTCTTTGACCCACCACTATCAGCATCATGGAGAAGCTAACAAGAAATGCAGAATCTTGGGTCTACTCTAGATCTATTGAATCAGAGTCTGATCCCTAAGTTATTCTTCTACATATTAAACTTTAAAAGCACTGGTGTAAGATTTTCTAAGCAACTGGAGTCAGATTAGTGATTTTGGAATTATTTATAACCTTCAGTATAGGAGTGAAAAATCTCTCATATCACTTAAATTCCTCAGATCATAGAAATTTGGTGAATTTTAAGAAAACATAAAATTTCCTGCACCCGTTTTTTTCTTTTTCTTTCTTTCTTTCTTTCTTTCTTTCTTTCTTTCTTTCTTTCTTTCTTTCTTTCTTTCTTTCTTTCTTTCTTTCTTTTTAAAAAATATATTTATTGATTTTGTACAGAGAGGAAGGGAGAGCGATAGAGAGCTAAAAATGTTGACGAAAGAGAAACCGACCAGCTGCCTCCTGCACACCCCCTACCGGGGATGTGCCCACAACCAAGGTACATGCTCTTGACCAGAATCGAACCCGGGACCCTTCAGTCCACAGACTGATGCTCTACCACTGAGCCAAACCGGTTTTGGCTCTTACACTTGCTTTCATCACAGCGCATGGCAGTCCTGCCTCCCAAGCCCACTTAATTTGTTAAGAAAATAGATCTCACTACACACACACACACACACACACACACACACACACACGTAACTATGTGAGGAGATGTTACGTTACTTAGCTTGACAATAGTAATAATTTCACCATTCAATATTGTATATTGTATATGTATAGCAAATCAACATGTTGTGTACCTTAATATACAATTTTTTTATTGCAAGAAAAGCAGCACCTCTAACTTAGAATTTCATTCACATCTATATCATTGTCTCAGTTCCTACTAGCTCTGTTCTCATTTCTAATAGCATTTCACTTTATGTGTGTGCTTGTATCTGTACTTTTAATATCTAGTATGATGGCAGCTTCCAGCCATACTGAGCTATGGCCAAGATTATTTAAATGTTATTTCCAGGTACACATTGTTATTGTTGTTATTATATTTATTACAAATTGCATATATTTTGAGGACTCTCTTCTTAACCTTGTTGTTCAAGAGCCATGTTGTTTTTAGAACATTGTTTTTCGGCATGTGAGATTTTCACAACCATATGTATCACATTATAGGAAAAGCTCCTGTCTAAGAGCAAGGGGGAAAGCTACCAGTTACAGAATAGGACTGAGATGGGGATATGATAAAAGAGCAAGAGCTCATGTGGGGATGTTAGCTTTAAAGTTAGATAAAATCCTTCTTGTCTAATATAAGTGCAGATAGACATGAATTTGGAAGTAGGGAAAAAGGTAGGGTTCTATTTCTCAATCAAGGCATCTGTCGATTAATGGGATTGAAAAAAGTGGCTAGAGATCTTGAGAAAAATGGTGCAAGTTTTAGAACAGCTGCTTAGGAATGAGAAAGAGAGTTGGGAAGATGCAAGTACAACATTGCTGAGTAGCTGTGAGTTTGCAAAACGTATTTTAAAAAAAATATATTTTATTGATTTTTTACAGAGAGGAGGAGACAGGGATAGAGAGCTAGAAACGTCGATGAGAGAGAAACATCGACCAACTGCCTCTTGCACACCCCCTACTGGTGGTGTGCCCACAACCAACGTACATGCCCCTGACCGGAATCGAACCTGGGACCTTTCAGTCTGCAGACCGACGCTCTACCACTGAGCCAAACCGGTTTCGGCAGTATTTTTTTTTTTTTTTTTAATGATACCAGTTAGCTTTGTAACTTTCTTTCACAATCTTGAAACCATTAAGAGAAGCAAAAGGAAACTAGCTGGAAATTTAGTAGAGAGGATTTGGCAAATTGAATGAAACATAAGGATAAGAGTGGTGAGTGAATTTAGCTATCTACACCTTGCTCAACCTGCCATATAAAGAAAAAAATATAGTTAGAAGAGAGCAAAGGTTAGAGGTTCCAAGGAGAACAAGCATGAATGGACTAAAGCAGCGGTCGGCAAACTGTGGCTCGAGAGCCACATACACCCCTTTGGTCCCTTGAGTTTTTAGCAAAGGCCATTTTAGGAGTATCCTAATTAAGTTAATAGCAATGTACCTACCTATCGATATATAGTTTAAGTTTAAAAAAATTGGCTCTCAAAAGAAATTTCAATCGTTGTATTGTGATATTTGGCTCTGTTGACTAATGAGTTTGCTGACCCCTGGACTAAAGTATGGGGGATAGTTAAGATTCAGATGGCATGAGATTATGTAGCTTTCAAGACTGGTTGGGAAATAGATAATGAGAATCAGGGTTGAGTGTTTGACAAAAACAAGGGGCTTAATGAATGCTCATTGAAGGGACAATGGAAGAGAGGTGATCTTGTGGTATGTGGATTCAGGAATGTTTTCCTGGGTAGTGACATGTGAAATGATGTTCTTTAAGTTCATTTGAACCAATAACCTTAACTTTTAGACTGAACTAGATGAAATTGCCATTTTTATAGGTAAAAATGATCACCAACAGACAAGTACATCTAGTTCAACCAAATAGGTTGAATAATAATATCAGCAACTAAGGTCCCTGAGTGTTTTCTCTTGGCAAGGAACTGTAATCTTGTCTCTTTTCAGCTTTTCATACATCTGCCTTCCACCAAGGTAGCATGTGGTTGATTAATATCCAGCTGTGGAGAACTGGAATATTAAGATTTGAAAAGTTTGCTTAAGAAAAATATTTATTTTTTATTGCCATGTGTGCAAATTTCTGTAGACATTCTACTGAGAACAGTTGTATGGATTATCTAATTTAATATTCACAACAATTCTATACAGTAGTAGCTCCTTTATTCAGCATTTTCCAGGAAATAAGCACTTGTCCAAGGTCATATAGAGCTGATAAATAGGGGAGTCAGGATTTGAACCTATAGACTCTAGCTCTAGGGCTTGTACATTTAATTTGGGTACACATCTGCTTATTGGAATCGTTGCAAAATATATGTTAATCTAATTCTTACCTGCTGGTCCATATTCATTTTCTTTTTTTCCAAGTACAAAGTCAGGGGTGAGATGGATGTATTTTCCTTTTTCTCCACAGGGTTCGAATTGGTTTGTGTATGGTTCATCTCTATCTGGTAGGGTAGGTGGTGCAACTAAAACATCAGTCTGAGAATATTTAAAAAGATTTTTAAAACATCAGAAATAGAAATGATAACATTTAGTCAGAAAAACTCTAAAACAATCAATTTTCAGTTTAGTGGAGGAGCACCAGAAAATATTTTAAGAGAGTTTTTTTTACTCTTACATGTGTGTAGCTTTCGTGTTTTGGTCTCTTGTATTGAGGCTTTTCATTCCAAGTATCAGGAATTAATATTGATACATTTTTGAAAAAAAATCTTCTTTCTGTGGCTTCAAATAGGTAAGTAGAAGCTGCAGTTACCATGTCCTGTTATAAAAGAATATATGGCAGTGAACTGAATGAACAGAGGTACATCACAGGCATTTCTCAGATCAAGAGTGGGTAGAAAATCCACTGATTAGTGAGCAGAGTCTCTGCCTCAGAATTCCAACCCTGACACCTATCAGTCCAAAATTGTAGCTTAATCCTGCACATTTAAAGGTTTTGAGTATAATTCTGCATCGAAAGGCAAATGTTTCTATTTGGTGTTAAGAGAAATTGCATACTATGATAGACTTTAGGTCATCTACTTGATTCCAATGCTGGCATTTGCACTTTCTGGGTGATCGATTTTGGACCACTTATATAATGCTTTGAAGCTTAGTTTCCTTATCTCTCAAATATACTTTTACTATCTATCTTTAAGGTTGGCATAAGCATGAAACAAGTGCTTTACACATAGTCATAAAACTGGTTGATATCATTACTGTTTATAAATCCATTCCCCTAATAGAAGCAGCAGGGTTTAATTGGAGCCTGGAGTTGGATGATGGAAAAATTTATAGGTAGAGCTTTTTGATCATAGACACAACTTGTTCCTCTGTTTTCAAGGTGAAAATAATATCATCCCATATTGTTCAGTATTCTGAACCTCAAAATGCAATCTATACTAATTAAAAGGATAATGTGCAAATTGGTCACGGCACCCTCATAGTAACAACCAAACAGCAGGCTGTGTGGGGCGACCAGGCCAGCAGTGAGGGGCAACCAGGCTGATAGAGAGGGGCAGTGAGGGGTGACCAGGCCAGCAGGGGGGCACTAAAGGAGCGACTAGACCAGTGGGGGCAGTTAGGGACGACCAGGCTGACAGGGAGGCAGGTAGGGGTGACCAGGCCAGCTGGGGTGGGGAGGCAGTACGGGGTGACCAGGCTGGCAGGCAAGTGAGCAATTAGGAGCCAGCAGTCCTGGATTGTGAGAGGGATGTTCGACTGCTGGTTTCAGCCTTATCCCTGGAATTGGGCCAAAACCAGCAGTCAGACATCCCCCAAAGGGTCCTGGATTGAAGAGGGTGCAGGCTGGGCTGAGGGTACTCCCTCCCCTCATACACGAATTTTGTGCACCAGGCCTCTTGTGATTAATAAGAGAAATAGCCCCACTCTAGAGCTTACTATATACTGGGGGAAATAGACGATGAATAAAAGATATTCATGGTAATTTAATCTGCATGATTAAACCCATTGAATAATTAAGAAATCTTGGGTGCTAAATGATGATGTCAACCTCTTCATCTTGCTGGCAACATCCCAGTCTACATTGATGTTTTCTTAAAGGCAGGATCGTGGCCTCTGTGATACTCCTGACCTTGCACAAGCCCAGGATAGCACGGTCTTTCTTCAGAAATTCCAGAGGTCTGTTTTCTTTTCTGTGGAAGACAGGCCAGGGCGCTGACTCATGTACTGAAAAGAATAGCAAACTCTGTCCAGAGCCATGAGTTCAGGAAGGCCCAGAGGACTAGCTGGCAGTTTGGAAATGAGCTTTGCAGAGCTCCCATGGTAGGCCGGAGGTTACCTCATCATTGGCCGAAAGCAGATGAAGGAATTCTCTGCCTGTTCCCCAAGGACACCCCCTTCCCCAGCTTTTCTTGTGTTTTTGGATATTTAGGTCTCAATGGATTGTTATCTTCTGCTTGAAGTGATGGCTCTCTCTGAGCCAATGAGATAAAGGTGTAAGTAGTGGTCTAACTCACCAGGAAGAAAAGGGAAAGGACTGAAATAAAATCAGAGTGAAAGAGGAAATGTTACAACTGATACCACAGAAATACAATGGATTATAGAGACAATTAAATGCCAACAACTTGGACTACCTAGAAGAAATGGAAACAATTCCTAGAAATATACAACATACAAAAACTGAATCATGAAGAAATAGGAGATCTATTATCATAGTAGTAGCACCCTTTCTTCCTGAACTCTGATTCCTATCTCCATCCATGAGGGTGTCTGATAAGCATCTCAGTTCAAAGTATCCCAAACTAATTCCCGATATCTCAGCTGCCAGGTGATCACTGAAGTCTTCTCTTCCCCTGTTGATGATAATCCCATCTTTCCAAGTGTATAGGCCAAAACCCTTGAAGTCTTCTTTGACTCCTATCTTTCCTTCCTACTTTTCCTTTACTCAACATACATTTAAATCATCAACAAATTTGTCTATGACACCATCAGAATATGTTCAGAATCACATCACATCACAGAATATCAAGATCTCTACCAGAATATCCTTGTTCCTAATCACTATCACTTCTCCCCTACAACAGCTTCCTACCTGATGCCCTCTACACCTCCATGCTATGCAGAGCTTATACAGTATTAGTGACAAGTGGAAGCTTTCTACGGAGTTTCCTCAACACTACAGTCAGTGTGATTTTAGAACATGTATGAGAAAGCACAGAATCCTCTGCTCAGAATCCTTCCATGGATTCCTGTCCCACGCAGAGTAAAAGCCCAAGTTTTTTCCATGGGTCTGAGCCCTGCTACCTCTCCAACTTTGTCTCTCCCACCCTTCCCCCCTGCTCATTTACAGTTGTTTCCTTGGTCCAAATAAGCATGCTACCACCTCCATGCTGCTGCTCCCTCTATTCCCTACCCAAGGTTTTCAATGGGCGCCTTCCCCGACTCATCTCAGGCCTCTCCTTGGAGGTCACATTAACAGCGAGGCTTTCCATGTCTTCCCTACATTCTCCCCCTATCCTACCCGACCAACAGGGCCTACCCCACTTTGCTGGTTTATTTTTATGCCATAGCAACTCACCACCAACTCTTCTGCTATCCATTTACATGTTTAATGATCTGTATCTGAAAAGAATGTACACTGCATAAGGGAAAGAGCTCTTTCATTCACTGTTGTCTTGCTATAAGCATTCAATAATTGTTTAAAGAACAGACAATTCCAAGCCCTGGCTGGGTAGCTTAATCATTAGAACATTGTCAAGATACACCACTGTTGCTGATTCAATCCCCAGTCAGTGCACATATAAGAATCAACCAATGAATGAATAAATAAGTGGAACAACAAATATATGAATATTTCTTTCCCCATCCCCCCCCCCCCCCCCTCAAATCAATACGTTAAAAAAACAAAAACAGGACAGACAAGTCCAACAGCTCATCTACACATGAAGAAGCAGGATTAGGGAGATCCTGCGCCTTGTCTTTGGTCTTACATTGAGACAGTGGAGAACCCTGGGTACAGCCTTCAATTCCCACTACCCTCACTGCACATGCTGTTTTTAAACTTTCTGGATTATTCAGAAGTTTCCATAATATTTATTAACTACTAACTTTTTTTCTTTTTCTAGAATTCCAACAGAAGATCCCATTTCTTTCTTACCTTTATTTTTTCAATCAGCATTTCATTTTCTGGCACACCAGGGCTTATAGCTATGATAATGCCTTCATAGCCATTGTTATTCAGCTGAATAAAGGAAGCATTGGACCCCTGCAGCAGGTTTAGGAGTAGGAGGAAGATAGAACTTCTGACCACCACCATTGCTCCTCTCCAGTTGTTCCTGGCCACAAGAGGCTTTGCTAGCATCCCCTTCTCTCTCTATATCTACTCCTAGTCTTTATAGGCGTGGCTGATATGTAACACTGATCTCTGTTCCAGACTGAACAAAGATCGGTTTACATATGAGAGGAAATATCTGAATTTACATAATCATTTTATTGCATATTACTGTAAAAGTGATAAGAAAAACAGAAGAAATCAGGTTATTTTATAAAATACATTCTGAATTTATTTTCTAATAAGACTAAATAAATAGTAAAAGTTTTGAGTATAAGTATCCAATAGTATAAAAAGTACAAAATGAAGTTTTTTTTCTATATTTTCTAATTTTGTTTAATTTCCTAAATATGGACATATACTTTGTATTTTCTGTAGAGTACAATGTGAAAATTAATAAAATTAATGAAACAAATAGAAGCAATAATGCTAATGTGTTTTTTTTTTCAGTTTTCAAAGCAATTTAATGATTATTTACCAAAAGTATAAATAATGGAAGAAAATGTAAGATTATTAAATGTAAATAACACTAAATTAGGTAGGATGTCTTTGAAATGTAAGTTAAAAAACTTGAAGTACTTTGAGAAATTAAAGATTTGATAAAGTCAGAGCAAAATGTTAACAACTTTTACCCAGAAAATAATGAATAAAATTTGCTTTTATATAAGCATGTCAAAAAAGTCTGGGAGAATGTGGACTATAATTAAACAACAACAACAACAAAAGAGCCCGGTAGTGTGCTGGTTTCTTTTAAAGCAGAATGAATAACATTAATAGCTAATATTTATTTGGTACCAACCAGGGAAGAGATTCTCTCACTTCATCCTCACCACAACCCTCTAAGGTTAAGCCTGAATGTGATCTCCATTAAGCATGGGGAACTGAGGCACATAGAGTTTCAGGAACTTGCCAAGATCAGGTAGCTCGTAAATGGCAGAGTCAGGCTCAGAACTCAGCATTCCTACCCCAGAACCCATGGATTTAATTACTTCATAACAAAGCAATTTTGTTTTATATGACAAATAACATAATAATACTTTTTTAAAAAGGAGGAAGGGAATCACATAGGAGTTGTGATGATGAATTAAGAATGTCTAGTCCTAAAGCAAAATTAGCCTGGACTCATTAGAAACTCAAAAGAGAACTAACCAAAAATATAGAATCATAGAAAGAAAATATCTTTAAACTAAAAATTCAAATAGGAGGATACTTTTTGTCTCAAATGCGTGTTTTATTGCTGAGATAAGGAAAGGCAGAGTTCACAGCTGAATGAGTAACACTTTTTCAAGAGCCACAAAAAAAAAAAAAATGAGCTTTGTCCTTTTTCCCTGTTAAATTTATCAACATAAGAAGTATCTTGTATTCCTCACAGAAAGAATGAATACAGCAAGTCAAGAAAATTGGAAATGAATGTTATGGTTTTATTCTTTTTAACATCCCATCTCAGATTCTTCTCTTCTCAAAGAATTTAGCTGAGTAACTGAATTCTCCAGGGAGGGTCAGACTTCTGATTACTATGGCAACACAGAGGGCTCTTATCATGGGACTTTTAAATCATGGGTCAGTAACATGCTAATAGAGTAATAATAGCCAGTTTTATTTTCTTATGAGAAAAGTATTTGGATTAGTATTATTGAGGCAGGAATATGATCTATGATTTCATGGAAAAAAATGGTATTTGGAATATTTTCATTTTAAAAAATGAAAGCTTCATTTTGAATTGCAAAGCAGTTACTCATCCTTATATAATTTTCTGAAGGTAACACTGAATTCTATTATGAATTATTAACTAATTTTTAAAATTTATCTTTATTGTTAAAGTATTACAGATGTCTCCCCTTCCCCTCACTCCTGTCCTCTCCCCAGGCATTCACCCCACTGTTATCTGTGTCCATGGGTTGTACATATATGCATGTAAGTTCTTTAGTTGATCTCTTCTCCCCCTATCCCCGCCCCCACTTTCCTTTGAGGATCCCCAGTATGTTGCATGCTTTCATGTCTCTGGACCTATTTTGTTTGTCAATTTATTTTGTTCATTTGATTCCACATATAAGTGAGATCATGTCTTTCTCTGACTAACTTATTTCACTATTAACACAGAACCTGAGGTATAAATAGGTTGGGATTCATTGGGTGAGACTTCATTTCCTCCTCCTTCTTGTTTGGATCTCCCTGTCCATGGTGTGTTTAATCTATCCTAGCTTCCTTGTGCTAAATCTCCTATGCTGCCTTGTAGAGATAGATCTGGAAACCAGTTTCTCTTTCCTTACTACTAGTGACTTGTCCACTCTCCTTTCTGTATCCCCCTCTCTAATGCCTTCTTACTCCAATCCTTTTTCATTTTGAAAAGGAGAATCTAGTAATTAAATATAATGTTTCATGCAGTGAACAGTTTGGAGTACTTCACCTTATTTGACCTCTTCGTAATATTTGATGTTGATCATTCCCTCTTCTTTGAAACTGTCTTTTTTCTTGGTTTACACAACAGACTTCCCATCATCTTTATAAATCTCTGGCTGTTTCTTCTCAGTCTAGTTCACAATGCCTCTTTCTTTTCCCCCATTTGAGTGTTGACTCTTCTCAAGAGTTCATTTTTGGCTCCCTTCTCTTCTTTCTATGTCCCATATGGGGATCTCACTCTTAGCATGGCTTCAGTTATCCTCTGTACACTGATGATGACCAAGTACACATCCAGCCCAAACTCCTCAACAACCACCGTAGGTGAAAAAAGAAATGGAATAATATTTTCAAAGTGTTGAAAGAAAAAATATAAACTTAATATTTCAGGTTAGGCTCAGACCATCAAATGCACACTCTGAAAACACTCTTAAAGGAAATTCTACAGCAAGAAGCAAAATAAATAAAAAAATAAGAAGATATGAAAAAGAAATAAGTTAGTGAAATTTATTATCTAAATAAGCAATAAATAAAACAACAAACATTTATTAATTCACAATTTTTACTAGAAAATGCCAACTTGAGGGAGGTTGGTGTTAGAATCCAAAGACAAGAGCTTGCTAAGGCATTTCTATTGGAAGTGAAGAGAATAAGGGGAATATAGATAAGTGCTTGAATTTATTCCTATGGGAAATAAATGAATAGTATATGTAAGAATGGGTCTTAATAAGTTGAGATAATAATCAGAAGATAAAAATCATAATGTATAATTTTTAAACAAGCAGTGTCAGATTTAATCTATTCAATGGAAGTCAGGAAAGAAGGGGACCAGAAAACACAAAAAGAAACACCATATGTGAAATGGAAAAAAATGGCAAATGATTTCTAACAAATCATTAAACTTGTGTGAGTTGGTTAAACTCTTTTGGTAAGATAGACTCTCAACTTAGATTTTGAAAAGATGAAATTATATGCTATTCATAGAGACACATGTGAAATGGTAATGTTATAACAATTCCTGCATTATGTACGTGTAAAAGAAAATCTAACAAAGGGTACTTGTAACAGTAAGTAATAAAAAAAGAAAAAAATCAGTTGACCCTGATCTTATTTTACCTCATTATAACTTTACATAATAACTCACCAATTAAAAGACTGCAATCTCTGTTTTTACAGAACTTGTTTCTATTCTGATGGATCCTAATACAGTATAAAGCATGAAATTGTCCTGCTGTAACTTTTTACTGCCATTCCCCCACAGAGTAAAGTCCTAATCTTTTACTCAAGACCTTCCTTCACATTGCCTCCCAACACAGGCACCTGCCCCCTACAATTCCTGCTTTAGGCAAACAGAAGGGTTCACATTTCCCCAAACTGAACAGTATGCTTTGTCTATTGGCAATTTTCAACTAGAACTTCCTTCTTTCTTTTCTACTTGTCCGTTAAGACTTAGATAAGGTGTAATCTCTTCTGTGGTGCCCTCACCCTTATTCTCATAATTATGTATATGATATTATATCTCATCACATCACATCACATTAAATTACTTTGTTTCCATGACTAAACTGTATGTCACTAAAGAGCAGGAACTATGTGGTCCCAGTCTCCAGCATAATGCCTGTGATACAATAAAATAGAATGACTAAGCATCCATGTCAACAAATATCATCTAGACACTAGATGATACTAGATTCAGACCAATAGGCAAGAAACAAAAATTTAGAACATAGGTTCTGTGTATAAAGTCTACAATGAGTGTGGGTTTTTTTTCCAGTTAAAAAAAAAGGGAATAAAATAAAACAAATTATTATTTTTTAAATCTTAACTGTATTGTATGAGTATGTTAAGCAGCACTCTGGTTGTATGTGACAGAAAACCAACTCAAGTTATTTACATATTCATTTACTTATTTATTGGAAGGATATTGGGCAAACCTCACATAATACTGCAAAGGTGAAGTTGGGAAGTAGGGATGCTAGGGAAGTGAATATGCTCATTTCTTGGCCTGTTGGCCTCATCATCTCATACCAGCTTCCTTCTTTCAGCAGGAAAAAAGGTGGACAGAGACCAGTCCTGAGCCTCACAACAGATAGCTTTGCTGCCACAGAGACATTAATCATCTTCCCTCCTTCGGGTTCAAAAGTCCTGGAGAAGGACACTGATGAGCTTGTTCTGAATCAAGTGGCCATCCTGCGGAGTCATCTGCAGTCAGGAGAACACCCCGATCTGCCTGAGTCAGGTGCCTATCCTGGGTGAATCCACGAAAGCAAGGAGGGCAGGGTCAAATAGCAAAGACATGAGAAGTGGGGATAGTCTTAATCCTTGCCACCCAGAGTGAGGTCCTACAGATCATGTGGGGATTGATAGAAATTAAGAACCTGGGGCCCCTGGACCTTCTGAACCAAGATCTGCATTTTGTTACCCAGATGATTTATGTACACACTCAAATTTGAGGAGCACGGGACCTTTCAGTCTGCAGACCGATGCTCTACCACTGAGCCAAACCGGTTTCGGCTGACTTATTATTCTAGTAGCACAGTAATTTTAAGGAATATGGCTTCTCTGTCTATGTTGAAGCATTTTCCTTT